CACGGTGTCGGGAGACAGACCGGAGGACCGGCACTTGATGTTGAAGAAGCGCTCACCGCCCATCGTGAAATCGAAGCCAGCCTCAGTGACGACGAAGCCAGTGCGAGCATCATGGTCCTCATCCGGCTCGGTACCCGCAAGCTTCAAAGCCAATTTGTCGGCGATGACGGAGCTGGCGCCAATGCTGATGTTGGCAAAGGGGCCGGCGTGAACCAGGACAGGAGTTCCCTCCAAGCTCTGCATCAGGTTGGGCTTGATGGCGTCCTTCATAAGAGCTGCGAGAGCACCACCCGCACCAATGTCGTCGCAAGTGACGGGGTCGCCGTTTCGCGAAGTGGCAACAACCATACGTCCCAGTCTCTCACGCATGTCTTCGAGACTGTTGCTCAGCGCAAGAATTGCCATACACTCACTGGCGACCGAGATATCGAAACCAGTTTCGCGCGTGAGACCGCGCTCAGTGGGAGCCTGCCCGATGGTGATTCCGCGCAGGTGACGGTCGTTGACATCCAGAACACGGCGCCAAGTGATAGTCTCCGGGTCGATATCAAGGCGAGCGAAGCGGCGGATCTCTTCCTCAGTGAGTTCGTCCGGGTTAGTCTTGGTGATACCCAGCTTCTTGAGTCTCCGGTACATAATAGGCTGGAACTCGCGCTTGCCCTTCTTGGCAGGAACCAGGCGTTTGTAGAGAGCGCCATCCTTCTGGGTGGCCTCATGGAACATGCGGGTTTCGATAGCGGCAGCAAGAAGGTTGTTAGCGGCAGTGATGGCGTGGATATCGCCAGTCAAGTGCAGGTTGAACTCATCCATCGGAATAACCTGACTGTAACCTCCGCCAGCAGCTCCACCCTTGATACCGAATGTAGGACCCTGGCTGGGCTGGCGCACATTGGCGAAAACAATGCGGTTCAAGTGGGCACCAAGAGCCTGGGACAGACCCAGGGTCGTGGTCGACTTACCCTCACCAAGAGGAGTGGGAGTGATACCGCAGACCAAGATGTACCGACCATCGCGACGGTGAGATAGCCGGTCCAAAACGGAGAGACTGACCTTGGCCTTGGTGTGACCGTAGGGTTCGAGCTCATGGGGTGCAATGCCAATCTCCTCGGCAAGCTGAGTGATCTGTTTAGGATACTGCGCACGAGAAATGGCGATATCGGAGGGCACAGGACTGGCCAACTTAATGGGAAGGGGAGTAATGTGTCTATCCTTCTGCTTCTCGAAGTAGGCCTTGGCCCCAGTCACCACGTTCTCCAGCAGCATGGCCACAGTCATGGGCCCAACACCACCGGGGACGGGGGTGATCTGAGAGGCAACCTGGACAGCAGACTCATAATCGACATCTCCAACAAGTCGCTGGCCGGACTTGCGAGTAGCATCGGCCTTGTAGTTGATGCCAACGTCAATAACAACGGCGCCGGGCTTGAGCCACTCTCCCTTGACAAATTCGGTCTGTCCAATGGCGGCAACAACAATATCGGCAGTCTTCACAATTCTAGCAATATCGGGGGTCTTCGAGTGGCACAGGGTAACGGTTGCATCAGCATTCTTCAGCAAGTAGCTGACGGGGCTCCCGACGATATCGCTACGACCAAGGACAACAGCTTCCTTACCAGCAGGGTCGATGCCGCTCTCCTGCAGAAGCTTCATGACAGCCTTGGGCGTGCAGGGAAGGAAGAGAGGCCGGCCACCTCGCTTAGCCAGTTCTCCAATGTTGATAGCACCGAAACCGTCGACATCCTTCTCGTCCGCGACAGCGGAGGTGATAGTGTGCTCGGACAAGTGTTTGGGGAGGGGCAGCTGGACCAGAATACCGTGTACCGAGGGGTCATTGTTGGCTTTGGTGATCTCTTGCAGAACTTCAGGCTGTGTAACAGATTCCGGGAAATTGATGATCTTGCAAAGGATGTTTGTCTGATACGAGACATTCCGTTAGCATAAGGATAAGTTGAGTCGTAAGAGCAGGGTGGCATATACCTCCTCGGCAGCCTTCAACTTCATGCGCACATAAGTGCCTGAGGCAATGCGTTAGCGTCCGCGACTCTCCACCACTAATCCAATTTTATAAAAGAAAAAACCTACTGGAATCCGATCGGTTGCCCACTGTAAGATTTCAAGCCAAGTCAGTACTCAAGCAGTCACGGTGCGGAGAGATTGTGAGGGGCTATGACGCACCCTGGAAGATAACCAGACTAGGCTTGAATCTGGGGTTGGATTCCTGGATCTGGCGGATCTCAGTCTTGAGTCCCTCGCGAATGTTCTTGGCAATCTGGGTGCCATCGATCTTGGTAGCTGCCATGGCTGCTGGTCGGGTGCTCGAGAAGGTACGTCGGGAAGAGGAGGAGGAGGGGGTGGAGACGAGCCTCGGGAAACCTAGCACGGCGCGATGAGCAGACGAGGAGGCACAGCGAAGATAAGACCTAGCCCCGCGTCTAGAGAAGAGCAGTCGTGGGTAGAGGGAAGGTAAGGGGTGGTAGTGAAGCTGAATCGGAAAAAGAGTATAAAAGCGCTCAGCGTTGACAACAGCAGCAGCAGCAGCAGCAGCACAGCGGGGTAAACTCGCCGAAGCCGAACGGGCGGGGGGAAACGGCATTGGATGACTGGGCTGGGTCGAGTCACAGCTCTTAGCCACTGCAGCTTTCCTCGGCCAGCTCAGATGCAGATAGGGAAAAGGTTGAAAACCACCGATAAACTCCTTGAATAATCGAATCAGGAAGCCCAAGACTCCGTAGAATGCCTAAAAAAATGAAAGACTGTGAAGAAGCAGATTCTAGACTGCCAGTCAAGCAAAGCAACTATTATTCTAAGGAAGTTCTTTTTCCAACATAATTCACCCTCGAGTTTGCTGTTTCGACACAGTTTGCTCTGTTTTTTCTGCCTTTGTTTTCCATGGAAAAGTTTCCCCGATGAATGCCGCCGGAGCCTCAGGCTGACGCTGGGGTGACAATGAGGTTTCTTCCTTAGGCTTAGTGCACGTAGTCTAGACCAGGAGGGGTATGGGCTGTCTTTCATCACGTGGATAGCAGACTAAGCCAAATTCGCAGACAGCTCTCAGGGCTGCACATCTCACGTGAGATGGTAGTCAGCAATACCGGACCTACTGATCTTCCGGTATGGTCACCATGTGACAAAACAGGCTCAATCAGGCAAGTCTTGGCGCGCGAGCCCGGACTGTGCGATGAAATTCAAACTAGTCCTGACGACGCCGACGAAGTGAGCCCGCCAGCACCCCGCAAGGATTTCCGCCTCATCACGCAGGTATTATACGACTCCCGGTCACAGACGCCCTCAGCTGTGATCCATCGCTCTTTTCATTCCGTCGTCTTTCCCCAGATTCATCGCGTGGTCGGCCCAAGATGAGGCCTATTTTGCTTGCGGGCCATGTGCGTTTTGCCATCCTCCTCCCAGCTCGGAAGACTCTTATCTGTCGCCTGCAAAAAAACACTTGAAGATCAACAGGATGGGGAAACATGGTGGTCGCTGACATTTTTCACTCTTGCAGGAACGTGCCCTGACTCAGATCAAGTTCAACAGTGATGGCGATCTTCTTTTCTCCGTGTCGAAGGATAAAATTGTGTGCGCCTGGTGGTCGGCCAACGGCGAGAGACTCGGTACCTACAACGGACACCAGGGTGCTATCTGGACGGTCGATGTGAGCCCCAACACGGTTCTCCTGGCGACGGGCTCGGCAGACAACACCGTGCGACTATGGAACGTCAAGACTGGCGAGTGCGTGAAGGTGTGGGATTTCCCTACGGCCGTGAAGCGGGTCGAGTTCAGCCCCGACGGAAGCAGACTTTTGGCCGTGACGGAGAAGCGTATGGGTTTCTTGGGTACCATTGCCGTCCTCGATATCAACTACGGCGACAACTTGGAGGACCAGGCCGATGAGCCCAGCTTGCGGATCACCTGCACGGAGAGCAAGGCCACCGTTGCGGGCTGGAGTTATCTGGGCAAGTACATCATTGCTGGTCACGAAGACGGCAGTGTCAGCCAGTACGACGAGAAGGTGCGCAGACCGAATATCTTCACTGGCGAGAATCGGGGCAGATGAGTTGCTAACACGGCATGTGGGAAAACAGACCGGTGAGCAGCTGGAGAACGTCCAGGCCCACGAGTTCGACCACCAGATCAACGACATCCAATTCTCTCAAGACCGCACCCACTTCATCACCGCCTCCAAGGACAAGTCTGCCAAGGTAAGTGTCCTTTTGTCCTATTTATTTTCCCCATGACACGTGCAAGCTTGTTAACACGCGGTTGCCAGCTCATCTCCTCCCGTAACCTCGCCATCCTCAAGACCTACCCCGCCGATACTCCCTTGAACAGCGCCACGATCACGCCCAAGAAGGATTACGTTATTCTGGGTGGTGGTCAGGCCGCCATGGATGTCACCACCACCTCCGCCCGCCAGGGTAAATTCGAGGCTCGCTTCTACCACAAGGTCTTCGAGGACGAGATCGGCCGTGTCAGAGGTCACTTCGGTCCCCTCAACACCGTCGACGTCCACCCCGCCGGTACTGCCTACGCTTCCGGAGGAGAGGACGGTTACGTCCGTGTGCACCACTTCGACAAGCCTTACTTTGACTTCATGTACGAGGTCGAGCGGGAGCAGCTGCGGAAGTAGAGCGAAGAAGGGGCGATTTTGACGTTCGGAATGCATCTTTTTTAAAACCAGTTACGCATCCTTTGTATGTGTCATGAGGCGAAGTTTCATCTTTTCTTTTCACTATACTCCCCCCAAAAGTAGAAAGGCAAGACCGGTACGGCGGGTACGAGAAAAAGAAGACCTCGAGGCGATATTCAGGGCATGAGTTATATTTCATTTGTTCCATGATACAGTCGGAGTTGGTACCATTTCCTATTTCTGGTCGCTATGGTGTGTCCTAATAAAAAGAAACCTTATTTTGCTTTACTTTACTGTTTTGCACACACCCTATGATTCCAACTTCTTCTCTTGCTCATAACTTTGTCTTGCTCATGAACATATCATTTGAATTCCGAGGTCAATTTGCTAGGCAACATTTTCTATCGCGCCCGACTAAATGCATAAAACCAGGAAGTTTCAATATCCACCAAGCAGCATCCCGAATTTTGTATGATTCGGGGGGAAAAAAAGTCTTTGTCTTTGTTCTGAATGACAAAATAAAAACGGACTCCGTCTTGGATACCGGGCCAGCGCTCTTCTGACCAGCAGATAAACAAAGGAGAAAAAATTGGGTAAAGAAAAAGGAATCATGAGATCTCATATTGAGAAGAAAAGGTGCGTTAGACGTGACATCCGGATAAAAGAAAAAGTGCGAAATTGATGGAGGATAACCCGAGACGATTTGAAGGAAGAAAAGGCCGAATTAGGAGAGAAGATGAAATTAGACAGAAAAAAACTTCATGCAAACTTCCCCGGAAGAAAAAGTCGCGGGCTCGCCCCCGAGTCAATTTACTTTTTCTTGGGGAACTTCTCTGCTCCGATGTCCGAGCCTCGCAGCTTGACGTTGAGGACGCGCTCCATGGCACTCAGGACCTTCTGGTCGGGGGCAGCGGTACCGCGCTCGAAGTCTTGGATGACGGTGACGGTGGTGTTGCACTTGGTGGCGAGTTCCTTCTGGGTCATCTTGTAGCCCTCGTCGGTACGGCGCTTCTTGATGGCATCGGCGACCTGGTGGCCGACGGTCTTGGGCTTGACAATGTCGTCGCTGCGGTCGACCTTGGTCAAGTGCTGGCCCTCGGGGGCACCGGAGCGTCCGGCCTGAATTCATTCACCCAAGTCAGAACAGGTTGCCCCTCCTTTCGGTAGTTTTTGGGGTTTGGGTGGCGGTTGGCTGCCCATGAAGCGAGAGAGTGAGGAAGTGACTTACAGCGTTACCAGTGGCGTACTTCTTCTCGGTTCCGATAACGAGACCCTGGCGCTGAGCGGCGTTCAGAGCACTCTTGCCCTTGACGACGGTCTCGCGGATGGCAGGGCCACCACGGTTCTTGCTTCCAATGCGCGTGACGGAGTCCCAGTCGCTCATTTTGAATATTTGTGTAGAGACGGTGGTGAGAATGGGGTGGTTGAGAAGATGGTGTTGAGCGTAGTTTTTGGCGGAAAGGAGCAGGTGGCGGTAGAGAAAGATCGCGTGAGATGTGTCGTAAGGAGGGATGTTGGAGACCCGCCGAATTTATATCGCCGCCACGGAAGCTTCTCGAGCCCTTGGGATGGCGGAGTCAGAGGGGCGCTGGGCGCTAATCTCAATTGGGCTTAATCGCTGCTGACATCATGTGCCATTAAGGCTATTAACTCCGTCGTACAGTCAGTCCGTTAGTCCATCGAGGCAGTGTGCATACTCGAACTATACCCAGGTTGCGACTGTGAGTCAGGATGAGTCTTTCTCGCTTATTTGTTGTGTCTTTCCGATCTGTCTTTGTTTAAACAATTGTATGGCAGTGTATTACGATCTGATCAATACACAAGCTGCGATTGCATTGTCAGCAATTAATGCTTTGATTTCCATGAAGGACAACTGCATGTCAATTCCGACACGTTGGCTCGCAGAATGAGTTCTGGCTTGTCGGGTCTGCTGTCTAATTTTGTGGCTTTTTCCTATATGTCTCTGTTGATTATTGTGGCTCAGTTGACTATACACATGTTGTTTCCAAGCATCACATCTTAACAAATCGGATATATATACTTCCCACAATAAGGTCTACTTTCAATTGCTTTCACTACAGGCATGCAAATGGGAGACGCTTCTGTAGAAAGAAGCAAAGGACTTCGTATGATGTCATAAACGTGTTTCGAAGCCTTCTGAGTCCAGTATCTCTCGACAGAGCTCGAGCTACCAGCACTCAGTCAATTACGATTTTCCCGGGGCTGTTGAGGACGAGGTGCAGATGTTGCGCGCAACCTTCACAGCGTAGTACAGTATAGGGAGAGAAGAGTTAGCGAGAATCTAAGAACCAATGTGCAGAGGACGCACTGTAGGTTTGAGCAAGTCAATAAGGAAATTGCGAGGACTCGCTCTCTGCTTAACTCTGCTAAGACAGTGATAGATGGCTCTTCCTTTTATAGCCTCAGATAGCCAAGATGCTTCTTTGCTGAATCATACCCATGCTATTTTGAGCATAGTCTAGATCACTTGAATCATGGTACGTAGCTTATGCATAACGGACTAGTGCCTTGATGTGCAATAAGGAGCGATTGAGAACTTGATACACTTGTGGAGCAAAGAGTGTAGTATTTCGACAGATCAAACAGGATGAAGACCCAAGAATAGCACATCTGAGGTGTGGCCAAGAGAAAAAGCGAGACACTGCTTTTCCCAAGTAACAGGTTGAGGAGCATGTCGGCCTGAACCTTGGCAGATGTTGGCTTTGGTTATTTCATTCGAAGAGCAACAAACAAGTTCATTGAGCCCCAGTTCCTGAGTGGGACTGCCGAGCACTACCTAAATCTTGCCCCTTTCCAGCATCAAGCGTCCAACCCGGCCTCAAGCACCAGGTAGGGCTTGTAACCTTGAAGATTGAAAATATAGACGTAAAATAATGGTGCCTGGAATGACAAGACAAGCTAAATGTCACGGGGCCAATCAGACAACCACAAGGGCTGAGGCCAACCCCCTCTCCAGGCTCTGAACGAGTGGGTGCCACTGGGTGGAAGCGGCCTCAGGTACCAAATCTGAGTAAGAGGAGAAGAGGAGGGACCAACTGGAGACTGCGGCCAATGCATCCGTTATTCAGTCACTCCATTATCGATCGTCTCGTCTGTTATTATTATTTGCCTCTCATCTTCCACATCCATCTTTCTGTCTGTCCACTCTTTTTCTTCCAGCGCTTCTTCTGCCTTTCAAATCGAGTCATATTCTTGATTACTTCGCCCTGGTTCGGTTTCGTTAAATCACTCGAATCCGCTTCACATAGCCTGCCATGGCATCCCAAGGCGATCTGTTCTCGGCCGTGACCAACCGGTCGCTCCGCAACGTCCGATCGGTTAGTTGGAATCCCCTCACCTGTTTAAACGCCCTGCAGTCAAATTATAACTGGCGTGGCACTGGGGTTACTGACTCAAGAACTGTCCGTAGGAGCTCGAATTCCTCGCCGATTCCTCAGTCATCACTCGTGCACAACTCTCCTCGATCTTATCACAACTCCCGAAAGAGAACGAGCGCAGTAGATCCTCGGTGCCCCCTCAGCAACCGCCAGTCCAGCAGCCGCAGCCAGTGGCGCCGCTGCCCATCCAGACACAGCCGTCTCCTGCTCCCTATTCTCCTCCCGTCAACCAATTCGCCAATGCCTCGTTGAACGAGAAGGCGACATACCAAGCGCAGCCTCCGCCGCAGCCGTACGCCAACCCGGCCGTCCCGCCGCCTCCTGCTTATCCCCAGGCCCCGCCCGTGCTGTCTATCGCCTCGGCTCTGTATGCGTACACCCCGACGGACCCCGGCGACTTGGCTCTGCAGCCGCGTGACCGTGTCCATGTTTTGGAGCACATGAACGCTGATTGTAAGTACTCTATACATCCCCGACAATGGCGACGAAATTCCTTTATGGCTGCTAACAGAAGAAATATAGGGTGGCGTGGCCGTAACGAGCGCACCAACCTCGAGGGTATCTTCCCCCGCAGCTACGTCGACGTGATTGACGAGAAGACTGTCTCGTCCCCTCCACCCACCAACTATGGAAACATGCCTCTGGAAGTGAGCCAAAGTGGCTCTACGCCTGATGGAGACCCTGCCAAGAAGGGCAAATTCGAGGAACACGGCAAGAAGTTTGGCAAGAAACTGGGTAATGCTGGTGAGTTTTGTCTAGGGAAAGCAGTTTTGATGCTTTTCTATCAGCTTGCACTCTTCGAAATCTTGAATGCTGACGATGCACTCTAGCTGTCTTCGGTGCCGGTGCGACCATTGGTTCAAACATTGTGAACAGCATCTTTTAATGTTTGTTTGTCGAAGTTGGTAACTCTAGGAAAGGGTCCGAGAGAATTTGTGGATCACCCTTGTGTGCTCTTTGTTGTTTAATCCAGTACTTTCATGGAATTGGCGTTGGTGGTTGTTTTTTTAATCCTTACCCTTATACTCTCTGTGACTATCTTGATTCGCATTCGCTCTAGTGAGACCCATTCGGAATAGCAAGTGACAGGTTCTGGAATTCTGGATATACTCAGTACATCATCAAACAGAAAGTAACATAATTGGACACCGTAGCTGGAGGCCTGAGTAGGATATCCGGTATTCCATGGATAGATCATCTTGTCACCTTCTTTTAGCGCCAAGCAGCCTCAAAGCCCAAAGCTCTCAGGTGAGGACTTACGTATTGCATGCGCCCGGAATGACTATTCCAAGTACAGGATCGGATTACAATAAGGGACGGGGGCGGATACTCGTCGACGCACCGAGAGACATCGAGTTGAACTCGGATAGAAAATAGTCTCTCGCCACGCAAATCATGGCCTATGGGCTGTTGGGAACAGCCGCCAGCTTGTTAGGCTACATTAGTTCGCGCTTCAGCCTCTCCCAACGGGGCTATGGGCATGGCGCCTACAGGGCCGGGACAGCCACATGTGGTTCCTATATCTGGAACATGAGAAGCAAATTCCGGCCAGAAGTTATCTTGGAAGCGTACAGTGTTCATAGAGGTGCTGTGGGCGATTGAGTCGCATTTCCCTCAGCCATGTCATGGCAAATGATCATATTCGCATTGCTCGCCATCCCACCCAGCGTTCTAGCCACAGGATGGGATGATTTCACGGACGACCTAGCAACAGACCTGGTACGTATGAGAGACGCCCACCACCACGGCAACCATATAGTCAAGTAACCGGTCTCTATCCAGGCGCCATTGATCTCCCTCTTCGGCGATCGGTTGAGCAAACAATACCTCTCCGAGTCGATCAGCATCCTGGACAGCTTCATCTTCGCGGTCTCTCCCCTGGGCATCCTCACGGCCGTGATCGCCGTCATCCGTGTCTGCGGGAACGCCTCCTTGAAAGCGTTTGTGGGCCGGGCGCAGGAAGGCCCCGGCGAGGCAGAAAACGAACTCCTGTCCTGCGTCTCGGAGAGCACAGCTGAGCTCTTCAACGATGGGGGCGTGTCCAGGGTCCTTGGACGGCCGCGAGTTCTCGAGGTTGTGGTGTGGGAGGACGTAGACCCGCAGACCCAGCAGCGCGTGCGCAGGATCGGGACCCTGCATGACGCGCTCCAGACCGGTGCCTGGGTGGCCGGGAAAGGCCGGCGGATTCTCGATGAGAAGGAATACCTGGCCGAGCTTGACATCGCGAATCTGTCCTTGAACAAAGGGATCGCAAGAAGAAGCCAGGGCTGGTTTTACGCTGCGGCCGCTCTGGGGTTTGTGTTGCAAGTCGGTAAGCATGGCGGTCTCGATTCGATCAGTCGCATGGAAGAAGGGAGGTAGTGTCTCTTCTAACGAGCTGTTCCAGGCGTGCTTGTCTACTCTGCTATAACCGTCTTCCTGTTCCCGGATCAATTCGAAAAGGATGGAAGTCGAGTCGTCAGCTATGCTTTCCCACTGTTCTTCATGGGGTCTATGCTACTCAGTATCGGGATGTTCTTTTGTGCTTTCATCATCGAACGCTCCTCCACGAAGTGCTATATTCGACCTACGACGCCGAGCAAGATCTACTGGTTGCAACCGGGAGACCAAGATGTGGGAGACCAGGTGTTTGGCGCGTTCCTGGCTGTCAACGAAGGGCCTGCGGCGGAGGCCACCACAGACATCATGTATATCAAATCGGTCCGAAGCTCTCAGAATCCGGGGAAGGAACCATTGCTGGTGTTCACGGTGGTTACGACTGTCGTTGGCTTCGTGACGCAGTTTGTTGGCTTCCGTGGGCTACATGCCTCGGTCATCCTCACACAGGTGGGATCGACGTTCTTGATGTCGATCGTGAGGGCCTCTCTCCGGACGAAAAGGACCGGGCCAGAAGAGAACCGGTTTTCGAACCCTGAGAGACAATTGGTCTCGCACAAGAAACAAGAGCTGGATTTCTTCACGTTTCACCTCGAGAACATACAAGTTTTCGAGTTGGTGGCTAATCCAACAGCTGCGCCTCAATCATCTGGTACACAAGCCCCAGCACGGATCAATGGCCCGGGTATCAGAGCTATCCAGACACGAACGCGACTAGCTCAACTCACATCTGAAGGCAGTCATGAGAGCATGGATTGGGATGATCTCCCTATCAGAAAAGTAGCTCGCAGCCTGGCAAAGACGATCACGGAGACAATGAATTTGTTCTCGGACTGGAAGCATATCAACGAGGACACGCATAGCTTTGACCTCCTGATCCAGTCTCAAGCACCTGGTAGAATGTCTGACTCGAGCTACGAAACATATTCTGTCAAGCTCAAAAGATCGGAGGACACCCTACAGTGGCAGGTTGACGTGGCAGTCCTCGAAGCAGTGCTGGGCCTATGGACATGGTCGCTCATCAAAGCTGATAGCAGATGGCTTCGAACCAGGCTCGTCCGTGCTGTAGGACTGACCGAGTCGGAAGCTTCAAAAGAGGAAACGGACCTAATGTTCCATAAATGGATCCACCGCCATACAGAAGCACATATGGTGCCTTCGAAGACAATCGCCTTTCACAATCGGCTATTTGGAATTTCTCTCGATAAAGAAACTACCAGCAAGGATATACTGGTGGTGCAAACTGACAATAGAGTGGAGACTATGGCCGCTCAGGATATTTATATACGGTTCCTCCAAAATGCCCTGCGAGATGTCACGGAGCTCGGAGGTAGAGTAGAGGTGCGCGAAGGGTCACAGAACAAGTTTGTGACATTCAGCGACCGCGTCGATCTTCTCGTGACGTGCTTCGCGGAGGCCGGGCTGGGATCGAGGGAGGACGGCTTGTTGTGCGCTATTCCAACTCTCAAGCTCTTGCTGCCAAAGCTTGCTGCAGACTCAGACAGCGTTAGAACCAAGATTGAGCGATTGATATCTGACGCAGATTGGAAAGGAGCCTTTTTCGTTGCGCGCTGGCTGTGCGAGCGTTGCGAAGGAGAGGAGCTCGACCGTTGTGTTTTCGAGCTCGGCTATCTATGTCAACGTGCCATGAGCCACAGTGACATTGTAGTTCGAGAGGCCGGATTTGATGAAGTGCAATCGCTCCTCCAATTTGACGCGAGGGCTAAGTTCTATGCGGGTCTCAGCCGGCGCTTGAATTGGATGAACTCCACCGACCATCAAGCATGGTGGTCACGATTCTCCCATCAACTTGGCTGGATCGTGTGGCATATACTCAAAAACAAGGCCCCGAACCACTCGATGATCCCATCTTTAGAGGCCTTGGGCGCATCCAAAGATCTTGATCTTCCGCCAGTTTCCCAGAGCAGCACGTTGCACACCGCGCAAAACAGTGTGTTGGGAGGCTCAGCATCAGGATCTTCAGGTTCTAGTCAAAATCTCACTCAGTCACAAAATCTCGAAAGAGATAAACAGATTCTTGCTAAGGAAATTATACTAGGATGGCTTACACATGGCCTGGACATCGTCTTCGAGAGGCAGGTGCCTGGGGAGGAAGAGAGAATGTGCCTCAAATGGGCAATTGAACACTCGCAAAATGCCCTCGCTCATTGGATCTTGATCAAATGGACTGAGGTCGGTCAAGCATATGGGGCTCTGGCACAGAAGGCGTTTGTCTTCGCAGCAGAGTGTAACGCGGACTTCGCGATTCAAACGCTGATTCGGCATGGCTCTGATATAGATGGTCGGGAATACGAGGGCTACTCGGCTCTAATCGAAGCCGTCGCTTCTGAAGAGAAGGATGTGGCAGAGAGACTACTTGCCAATGGAGCAAATCCAAATTTGGGTCTGAAAAGAAGCAATGAAGCGCCCTTGGCTATATCGGCTGTTCAGGGCGACGTTTCAACAGCTATGCTCCTGCTCAGATACGGAGCGGAGGTTGATCATCAAGATAGCATAGGCTTCACTGCATTGCATAAAGCGGTTATACATGGCCAAGTGGAGGTGACGCGGCTTTTACTCGAAAAAGGCGCCGATGTGGATGCTGTTACAGCTGATGGCAGGACGCCTTTGCTCTTTGCCACGGCAGATGATAACGCGCAAGTGGGCATGGTCGAGATGCTCTTGAATTATGGGGCAAACACCAACGCTGAAGATGATTTTGGGAATACACCTTTAATGACAGCAGTGGAGAATGGTGCGATGGAGGAGATCATTCGGCTGCTCCTTCAGAAATCTGACATCAATCGGAAAAACAACAAAGGCTTGACCATATTCGACCAGGTGCAGGGAGAAAGACGCTCTGCATTTCTGGCTTTGATTGAGCCGGCGGCAAGTGCTTCGAAGCGATGAGAATCACAGTACTGCCGAAGTAGTGCTTTATGCCGAGGAAGGAGAGCGTGCTTCTATACTGGATTCTGTTGGTTATCCCTCCGGCACCGATAATCATGAGCAGTATGATAACTGAAATCGGACCATTGACGAGTTTATTTTCGAAGGGATTTTCCGGAGGGAAATACTTCTTCAGGGGTCAGGAACATGCATGCATGACAGATCATGAGCCTCGTGGTCTTGGTGATTGCAGCCGTGATAATGTGGGCCGACTCCGAGGCAGGAAGGAGGCAGGAAGGCAGGAAGGAGGCAGGATCTATACTACATGAGGAGTCTGCGTCCGAGCGGGGAATCAAACGGCCTGGCATCTTCCTTCCTGCACCATCTGTCTGGACGACCCGACATTGTCTGTCCCTCTTCCAACGTAATACGAATTCTATTTTTTTTCTGGGCTTTCCGAGTGAACATGGACTTCTATGAAAGCGCCCATGCACTGGCCAATAATATGGTCCAGCGCACCGTGCCGCATGGAGGCCAGCCATCCAGATCGTTAGATACGTTCTCTAAGCGCCGACTGGAGATCACTATGCAGTAGTGCTGCTTGGTCGGCCACAAGGGCCTCGTCTCAGTCTACCTCCTCTTTCATGGAACTGCGGTGCATTTTCAGACCATTTAAAGATGATCTTGCTCCTTGAGTCGGCTTGTCGCAATGTCTGTCTCGCACTCACCTACCCTGGCTCCTTTCTAATGTCCTAACGAATATTTCATTGCATCTCTGGCAGAGCAACTCACTGTCCCACTTATCGTCCTATTTCCGACTTTAGTTCATTTGTATTCATATACTCCATACCTCGTCGCGCACCCAAAAGCTCATAACGGAACGAAGAGTAACCCAATTGTCAGTCAAGCGTCTCGATTCCTGTGATGTGCATCGTACATCGCCTACAATAGAAATATAGACTGACATTCGCTCTTATTGTAGCAAGCGTCCTTATTCCTCAGCTGCAGCAGCTATGTCTGGACAATTCACTTATCCACCCCCGCCGAGCCAAGGCTCATTTTCTTGTACGACTGTCCTACTGCAACTCGTACTTCCTGCACGGTGCTAACCAACGCTCGTCAAATAGATCCCTCCAACGCACCCAGTATGCCTTTCCAATCTAGGATGACTCTGAAGACTTCTAATATCAGTACTAGCAGTCTACTCCCCGCCCCAGGCATCCCCTGGCTTTCCACCTCCCAACTTCAGCTTCCCTCCGCCGCCCCAGCAGCCTGCGCCCTCTAATGGCGAGAATAAACCTCCAACACCACCAATGAGCGAGAAAGCCGTATATGATGCGGAGAATACGGGAGCATACGGTGCTAACGCAGCCATTCGAAGCTCTTCAGATAGACCTCCGTCCGGCACAACACTTACAAGAGCCCACACGGACATGTCACTTGGCAGCAAGCCAGGTCCTTTAGCATCTGCTAACTTCATAGGTGCCATGTCTACCGACATGGATGACGTGGGCACCTTCAACGGCGGTAGCTATAGGATCAGTCACCGGGACACGAATAGTCTCTTGACAATTCAATTGGCCGTCGGATGTCCCCTACAGGCCAGACCCGGTGAGTTCGCAACTGCGAAGCTTGTCCAGTAGCTCTCATTTTCCAACTTTTCAAGAATGAGATACACCTGATATCAATGGGCGCACGAAAGCTAATACGGTGTAGGGATTATGATCGCAATGTCCCCCTCAATCTCGCTTCGAGGCTCGCTCTCATTCGGATGGATGAAGGCCCTCGCCGGCGGCCAGGTCGCGCGCTCAACATACACAGGACCCGGCGAGCTTCTCCTCGCCCCCTCTGTGCTGGGTGATGTCACCGCCCTCCGCCTGGACGGTACCCAGGAGTGGACGGTGGGACGAGATGCCTTCCTCGCCTCCACCAGTGGCGTCAAGAGCGAATACAAGACCCAGGGCATCATGAAGGGTGTCTTCTCCGGGGAAGGCTTCTTTGTTTACAAGTTCCAAGGCTCCGGCATCCTCTGGATGCAAAGCTTCGGCGCCATTGTCAAGAAAGAGGTGCGTTTCATCTCATTTCTCACCCCGGTTCATCTCTACCGGTGTCGGCCATCACTAACTTTTCATGCCCTGTGATAATCTAGCTCGCCGAAGGTGAGATCTATTTCGTGAACAACGGCCACCTGGTAGCGTGGAACTGCCAATATAAGATCGAGCGCGTCGCCTCCGGCGGCATCATCTCAAACTGGAGTGCCGGGGAGGGCTTGGCTTGTCGATTCACTGGTCCAGGGTCTGTGTACATGCAGACTCGTAATGTGTCCTCCTTCCTTGCCCATCTCAACGGAGGAAAATCCACCAGCTGAAGCATGCCTCACATGCATTGGTCTGAAGCAATGGCCAATATCTTGTTCAACCTCGATTTCCCCGGGCTCTGTGTCTTTCTCATGTTATTTGTTATATACCTCTCCTCACGCTAAATTTTGGGTTATTTTCTTTGGAAATAGTAGCTAACTTGGAACTTGTGGTGCATGATCAAATTGTCTGGTTAGTTCTAGCGATGTGATATTGATTTGGAGTCATGTTGGGCTGAACTCGACCCAGCAAACCGGAGTAGAGTCTTGATTACGCAGAACTGGCGGGGTTTCTAGACTGCAGTATGTAGGTCATGCCATTTTTATCCACCTATCATGCCGCTAAAAGAAACCGTCCTCAATTTCTCAACATTCCCCTTCCTTTTCTCTACAGTCCCTCAAGCCCCTCATACCACCCCCTATCACCGAACCAGCAACAGACATAAGAAAGATTAACGGTCATTCCACATAACCACCCATCATCCACATGCCGACATGATCCTGACCACAACGAGGATACATAATCCAAAAGGTTTAAAAAAGGAAGAAGGAAGCTCTTTGTATACGAGAGGAAGATAGAAAATTTGTTGGGGGGAAGTGTTGGGAATATGAGATCATAACCGTGTCCATCACGAAGTAAAGAGAGGCAGGCAAGAAAAGTAAAAGCTGGGAAGAAAGAAAAAGAAAGGGAAAGGGACCATGCCACACACAAAAACCCATAGATTCCATAGAAGAAACGCACAAAACCCCTCTTTCTCCCTCTCCATTTCTCCGCCCCTTTTCCTTTTGTCCCCTCCGCACCTCTTTGGGGTGGGGGAATAACAAATTAAATTCCCTGCTTTTAAATCGTTTAACCCTGTCTCTTTCTGCGGCCGACCTGTCCACGGAAACCAGTCTTGATGGCGGCGACGGAACGACGAGAACCGCAAGAGTTACAGGTGACGAAGTATAGACGGTTCTCACCCTTGTTGAGCTCGGTGTCGGGACTGCGGCAAGTCTTGCAGGTGACGTATTCGACTATCCAGGAGTTAGTGGCAATTCGTGAAGGTAGAGGATATGGAGGGATTGGAGAGGGAACAAGAAGGGAAAATTGGGATGAAGACATACCGATATATCTTCTCAGGACGTTCTCGATCTGCTTCTGTTGGAAACGACCCTTGATGACCAGACGACGGGAACCGTCGACACTACCGCTGGTACCCAATTCGGCGAACAGGAACTGCATGACGTGGTCGTCGGACCGCTTCATGCGCTTGCAGATATCGGCGATGTTGGCGAAAATGGTACGACGGTTACCTTCACGGAGACACTGGGGCGGGGGGATCTTGTAGGACTTGGTGCCGCTGGACAGCAGGTCGGGGTGGTGGCTCTGGATGAGGGAGAAGAATCGGGAGACGAGGAGCGCATAGGGGATGGCTTGCGTGGCGTCGTGGGCCCAGATGCCCGTACCGGCCTCGTGGTCGCCCTCGGGGACTTCCTCCTCCTTCTCCTCGCCGGCGCCGGCAGCGGCGGTGACACCGGCCTCAGCCAGCTTGGCCTCGAAGTCGTCGGTGTCGACCTTCTTGGACTTGGACTTCTTCTTCTTCTTCAGGGCGGAGACGTCGAACTCGCCGTCGCCGGCGGGGGAGGCCTCATCGCCTTCGCCGGCTTCCGTGTCCTTGGGCTTCTTGGTCTTCTTCTTCTTCGACAGGCCCTTGAAGAGCTCGGTAACTTCGTCGACGGACTTGTCTATATCCCAGGGAAGAGAGGGTGTTAGCTTGAGGCGGTCGCGTAGATTTTCTGGGGGTTGAACAGGACAATCATCCCGGCCATGGAGGGGGGAGGTATCACGACATACCCTCAGCAGCCTCAACGGGCTTCTCAACCTGAGGGGTCTCTGTGACTTCGCCGTTGGTATCCATGATGACGTCTCCTTCACTGAATGCGACGGACTTGCGTTGCTTGGGTTCGACCTGTTAATCGGGGAACCGGACAGCCCAACAGGTTAGCGGGGCACCGAAATTATGTGAAAGTGAAGGATGAAAAAGCCCTGACAGCAAAACTCTCAGGGATAACACTGCTCGTTGACTACCAGCACCACGTGATCGACAGGAGCTGGGGAAGAAAGAGGGTTGTTTGACGCAGGCAAAGACGAAGGTGGTTTGGAGAGCAGCAGCAGCGGGTATGAAATGAATGAAGAAAATGTGGGAGGGCAATCGGTAAAGGGAAAACGGGCTTTGTGACGTACAGTGTCCGCCATATTGGCTCGGCGCTTATGATATTCAAAGGGTTTCTCAGTCTAACGCGACGCAGAACAGAACACTCCGAGAATCAAAATTCGAGGGACAGAGAGAATACTTTTCGTAGAGAATGATGAGGTCGATCTTCTTAGATCTGCCGTTGAGTTGTTGCTGGTTTGGGTTGCGAGAGGGCGATTCTCGTTATCGCGGGTCCCCTCACGTGACAGTCCACCCAGTGACTCAGGACCGTATTTACATTACCGTACTGTCGGTTGCCTCCTCAGGCCACAACAATGCCGAGCTGGCTGCCTGGCTGCCTTGCTGCCTCGTCGCCTCTCTGCCTCAGTCCCCTGGAATGATTACATCAGACCATCCCCATCCCGATTCGTCACTGAACAAGAACTACCGTCGCCGAGCTCCAAGCCTTATCCGCTGCTATCCTTCGGATACCTTGCTGTACCTTCACATTCGACCAAAGTTGGCTCATGCTGAATTCCTTGCTCAGGCGGTAGGCAGGCCACTGCTTGATTGCGAAGATCCCCGATTGACACCATTCCATCCCTCTCTCGACCACTACCACCACCTCCGACGATACTAACAAACACCCAACACCCACTTCATCCCCGTATCTTTCCTCGAGGCTACGCAACCTGCTACCTAGTACTCTATACTTTGGGAACAACCACACCGACCCTCCCACCGTCAAAATGGCTGCCTCGCCCTCCGCCTCCAACCCTTCCCTCACCACCTCCGCCTACATGGTCTCCTCCCGCGACCGATCCTACTCCTCCGCCTCCGACGACGACATCGCCTCTCTCCCCTCCGAAAGTACCTCCGTCTCCGACCTCGATACCCTCTCAGATTACTCCGACGCGGAGGAGGAATGGCGCGAAAGTCTGGAGCAGTTAGAGATGCTTCTGACCATGGTGTTCGTTCCGTTTGTGGGGAAGTATCTGGGCCGGAAATGCGCTTATTGGAGTATGCTGCCATGATTCCCACCCCCTCCTTTGGATTTGCTTATGCCTCCGGGATGAGGTGCTGATACTTTATGCAGGTTGGACGAGATTCATGGAATGGAAGTACCCCGTTGAGGTGGTCGTAAGCAACAAGGCTGCCTTCAAGGGAGCCGGGGCTGTGGGGGCTCTCTCCCCTCTATAAGCGGTAGTGGAAACAAGGGAAAGGTTTATATATGGGAAGGGGTTCTCGCGCTGTCTATATCCGAGGGTCTATACCGTTGCAGCATCCTATTTTTGTGGTGAAAGGAGTTTCACGATGGTATCAGGCGAACCTTTTCCCTTTTCGCGGAGCAGCCCCTCAGATGCTTTTTGAGGGGCTTGGTCACTTGGATATATCTTGCGCCTTCAAAAAATGTCCAGTGAATAGGAGATGTTCCTCTGGAGATAACAGGTCTGATCTCTGGTGTTGAGTTCATAGCATAGCATATTTGTTTGTTTATTTAGAAAGGTATACCCCAAATATCAGCCTTACTTAGGGCTTATCCCAGTCTTTAGCATGCACCTAGAAATCTGGTCCGGCGTACTACAGGACAGAAGGGACGTCTTCCCGGTGGCATAAGAAACGGATCGAGAGCATACACGCGAGACACTCCAGAAGAGGGTTAGGGTGACGAGTCCACCCTCCTAGAAACGACATGCTCCACATTCTCCCTCGCCATTCGCTTCCTTTTCTCCTTCCCCTCCAAGCTCCCCAGCTGGATGCCCGCCTGGGCCAGTGCAGGCTGTGCATAGAAGCACGGATCGCTGTATCCCGGCGTGAGGAAGCGCTCCAGCGGTGTTTCATGGCGGATGTTGGTCTGATCCAGGGCGACTTTACTCTCAAAGAGCTTCAGTGAAGCAGACACCTGGTTGTCCGAGCTAGCAGCGAGTCGGGCACTCGGCTGCTGCTTGGTGGAAGAAGAGTAGTCGACTTGGAGGAGCTGCTTCATACCTGATTCGATATCATGGTTGGCAACAGCTGGGGGCTCGCAAAGAGAGACGCCGAGCTGGGAGTAGTAAGCGTGGATGCGTTCTTCTGCGATGAGAGAGTCGATCCATGATGGCACGGTAGACTCTGTGTGAGCGTGCTGAGGTGGGATGTTAGTGGCACAGTAGGTATAAGACGACAAGTTTCGTATCATGAGAGTAGGAAAACGAGGGCGAGGGAGAGGAATGGGGCAAGCAAACCATTTCACTGAGTTCCTCATGAATTGCAAGATTGCGCTCGATCAATGGCGCTGGAAGTGAAGTCAAGCCTGGACGTTGAGTAGTCGCGGCTGCCGTTCGAGCTGAAGGAGGATCTTGCTTGTTGGCCATTCTTCTCGCATTTGGTTTGATCTTCTGTGCTTTCCCACCCATCGCTTGCTGTACCTCTTTATACAACCCCCAAGACACAATGGACAATTACATTAGCTTCTCTTTGCCTACCTCCATTTTCCCTAGCTGATCTACCTGCGCTGAGCCAAGCTCTCACTAAAGTCCCATACGAGACCATTGACGAGCTTCGAACCACCCTTCGGCCGGGGATCTGTACACAGCATAGTGCAGCAAGCCAATGCAACAAGTCGACATGATGGAACAGTCAACTGATAGCCAGAGTTGATCTGTACCTTTTCAGGTCAGAAAGAGGTAAGGTTATTGTATCATACGACTCCTTCCTTTGTGGGTTTAACTCCTCCACGTAGCGAGTTCCTCTTGAGCTGCGCAGCGCAACCGAAGTCAGCTAAGAACCTGACAAAGACTCACAAATGCAAGGTAGGTACGTGGTACTTCTGAAACTTCTCCACTAGTGACTGACCCAACAAAGGGGATAAACCGAGTGACACTGGCGTGAATGAGGTCAGCTAGCTTAAAGCCACAATGTCCTGCGACAACGCCTCTCTACAACGGACAATAGTACCTTAGTATGTACACACGCGCGCACATACGCATGATCAAGAAACTTTACTCTCCTCCGCGGAGATGATATCCTCAGAACCAAAGATAAGCGGCAATGCACCCCCCAAAGCGGATGACCCCTCAGCTCCTTTTCGTGTTGGCTGAACTAGAAAGTGATAGCAGACCATCAAATCTGCACATATGTCTTGGCGTACACACAGTGAATGCCTCCTGGACTTACGGTAAGAACTAGACAGTTCTGACGGGCCTATCAGAGTCTCGGGTCATATGCTTCCTGGAGTTGAAACACTGCATGGTAAATGCAAGCCAGGAAGGCCCCATCCGAGTGCTTCCCTGGTTCTCGGGTCCGGATCGGCGGCGAATTTACTTTTCCTGCGTTATTGCCGCTGACAATTCAGTTGGGGGCTGGCTGCATCCTCTCACAGATCTGACTTGCGAATCTGGCGGTGGCTCAGATCGTTCGTCGATGACTCCAAAGCCTAAGGTTTGGCTCACTAATAATCTATATGGGTGATACAGGTAGGATGACTTCGATCAATTATCTGACACTATCAAGGGCATTGCTGGAGAAAGACAACCCGTAAGATTTTGCCTGAGTGATTGGCCCTATTCCTGCAAATATCCTGGAAGCCAAACAGCCAAGAAGGAAAAAGCAACGAACAAGCAACAAGGAGCACGCACAACATCTGCTCTAAGCTCAGTTCACTGCCCAACGATTCCTTGGGTCTCAATACCTACACATGTAGTCAGACCACCCCCAGAGAAGCGTTACAGCACCATTCAATCCCCACCGGAAATCAAGTGCGACAAACCAAAAACATCCCGACAAGTCGGTTCCTGCAGCCCCGTTCGCAGTTCATTTCCTCATTCTCCATACCATTCCTTGCAAGCGTGTTTGACCCGACTACCTGGTTAGGTCTGCTGCAGTCCGGTCCACGGTCTGGCCCCCCAGAAGTACTTCTGTCCTGACGGCTCAATCGTCCAGTCAACTCAGCAAATGGGCCCCATCACATCCACTCCCCGGTTGTTGCCTGTTGCCTGAACGACTTAGTCTCTCTGCATGATTTTCCTCTACCGCATACCCTTCCTCCCATGCATTTACGTAGACACCTATCAAAATCCTGCTACGTTGCCCCTTCTCCTGCAAGCTGGCGTAATCAGTCAGGAGTCTGATTCGCTCCATCATTCTCCTCAGACGGCAGCCTGGTTCAGCCGTGGAGGGGTAGTAGGATAACCCTGTTGTATTGAGGTTCCCCTGCAAGGCTGGTGGCTCAATGGAAGTGTCAGGGTCGCAATCCATAGCATGGTACTGAGCCTTTTAATTACAAACGTCACTTCTACCGCAGTGAGAAAAGGGAAGAAAAAGCAAGATACTCTCTCATGGCCATTACAGTACCGATCACTGTTGAGCTTTACCCTGTGGAGGGCGTCGAGGCTCCGGGAGAACAGACAGTGCGGCTTGCTTATCATCTAGACTAATGAAGAGGGTGGGAGCATTCTAGAGCTTCTGGGAGCATACTGGGAGGTTTCTTAAAACAGTTCTGTTTGTTGGTGTATCAAGCTTAAATGCCAAGCCTCATCAAATAAGGTATGGTAACTTAGACGGACACAATGACACCTTGTGACCCCTGACCGTGCTCTCGGGACCTGACAGGGAGCTCTCCAGGCTACGGCCAAAATACACCCCATCCTGGTGAGCCAGCTCGGGGCTACCTACTCGAGAACAAGGGCCATGGTAGACTGGACAGTCTGGTCAATCAATTACACTGTCTGTCATAAGCTGGCTTCATTTCGAGCCCCTCTGATGTACCTTCCCACCTTTTTCTTACTCATGTTTCATTTTCTTTGTCATGCTGATCTTCAATTGATCTTGAATATTCCTAGAAGTCAGGAATACATGATACTCTCATTTCCTCAAATAATCGTGGCAAGCATCCTCACTTCCAAATATAACCGAGCTTGGCTCCAATAAATGCAAAAACATCCCATCAAAATACCAATACAAGATATTGGGGGAGTAAGAGTTGACAAAATGTAGCACACCGTCAATACAACATCCTTCGCTGCCAAAATCCTTTCAGATCATCGCTGACATCAATTTGTAGCCTCGTGGGCTCGCAATGCGAGCCAGAGCCTTGTCGCAGTCTGCATTCCAAGCAGCCTTCTGCATGGGTGGTAAACTCAGCTCGCGTTTGCATTTGTTCATTCTCAGTGAACAGACTGCCGTCGTAGATTGTCGTAATGTACCTTGAGAGAGGCACATCTCTCACCGCACCGCTTGCCGGGGCTTTCCCCGACCTATCCCCTGAATGGCTTGACAAGTAGTAGCATGTCCGAGCGTCATTTGCGTAGCCATGCGTGTCTTCATGTGTATCCCTGGCTGAAGGCTTTCTTTCCAGGGCACTCTCCGGCCTCCGTGTTGAAATCCCAGTCTCGAAACTTGAAGCGGAAATCTCTCTGAAACTTTCCTGAAGAGGTTCGAAGAAATTCGATTCGGAAGCCAAAATGGCGTCACACGCAGCTTCGAGGGCAGCATAGTCCACCTTGCTGGGACTCAATGGGAAGCAGTCATCGATGATCTCATTATGCCCGCTTGAAGTGACAAACGTCGAGTTCGATTGGGCATCGCAAGAAACCTGACGGCACACTTCATCCTTGCCCTCAGAATATGGCACATCTGGCCTATTGGGCCTTTCATTGTGTAAAACTTCACAGGGTAATATATGCTGAGATGACTTTGTCGGAGTGATCCAGTCTCTGGTGGCTTTCCGCAAGGATTTCTCCTGTCGATGTGCGTATTCTGGAGGCGTTTTAGAATTTGCCGATAATTCCGTAGCTCGAGACTTGATGCCTGGATCTCTGTGCTCCCGCTGAATTGCATGTCCTCCTCCAGTCCTTTGAATCTTATTGGGCGGCATAGGCGCAGCGGTTGCGGTTCGCATGGGCGATGACGAGGACATGCGTTTGAGAATGTCTCTGTTAAGAGATATTCTGCTGCGTTGCGAGGCTTGAGTATCATTCTTCCCCGAGTCCCAGAGGGGCTCTCTCTCCCTGAGTAAGCGGTGTAAATCTTCCAGAGTCCATAGCCTTTTTCCCGGAGTGGCTTTCGTGGGAGAGCGGAAATTAACCCGCAGAAGATTTCTAGTGTGGCTTTCCAGGTCGGGGTCTGACGACAGGTCCAAGGCAGTACGTGGCGATCTCATAGCATTTCTTAGCACGTTTCCATTTTTCCCATCTGTGCCGTGTTGTGACCAGTGATCTTCATGACGAATTGATTTCTGCATCTCGCATCTGGTTGTATCTGCTGTGTCATGATCTGGGAGCGATCCGAAATACGTCTCAGGTACATCATTCCGAGGGATCAGGCTTTGAGGCTTTCCTGCCAGGAAGTCTTCCTCTGAAAAGCCAAGTATGGGGACTAGAGCACAATCAAAATCTACATGTAAGAGATATTCGAGCGTGTCTGAGGCAAGCGTACCTCTAGATTTGATAGGGGAAGAGGTCTTTCCCTTCTTGAAGATTCCCAAGTCTTGGCGATGGTTGATCTTGTATCTCATTCAGCTTCGTCATAATATGAAGGGAATATACTAAGTAGCTCAGAGGACATGACTTACCGTCAATCGATCTTGGGCCACGTTGGGCGCATGGAACTTGTGGGCGATTGCTCGCCTGAGATGCTTTGAAAGACGTTCGAGCTTCTTCTGGACCTTGGTCTCTTTATAGTCATATCGGTCGTCCTTGGTTTTGTGCCTCATACGACGCTCGTATCTATCAAGCTTCTCATCCTGCAGTGCAGTAGGCTTTGCATCGGCGAGATGGGAGGGTGAGCATCCTCCGACCTCTGGCAAGGTAGCGTCAGCATTGCTCTGGGCGAGAGCTTGGGGCTGCACTGTTTGGGCTGTATTAGTGTGACATTTTACATCAATATGAGTTTAGCAGATCGTGATTGGGAGACTCACTTGCACGAATCGAACTCTGATCTGCAAGAAGTTTCCTGTAGAATCTCGGCGGGTCTTCGTCATCTCTCAAGATCCAGTCTTCGACTCTGGCATATTTCTCTTGAGGAAGACGTTGCGAAGCTAACGAAGGCATGGGTAATGATTGAAGTTGTTGATGCAGTTGGAGATTAGAATTTGCCGGGAGATAGGGAGAGGACAAGAGGGACTGGAAGGTGAATAGTATGTTGCTATAGAATCAAGGAAGTTAGAGATTGAACAAGTCCTGGACACGGATTAGAAGAGAATAAAAGGATGAGGTCGACTCACAAGCAGTTGACTTTATGCTTGCTTCAGGATGATGTCGCTTACCCCGGAAGTTTGTGCCTTCCTAGATAGGAAAGACTATATAGCAGCCCTGAGGCTCAGGACTCCAGCCAGCCGCTCCTCGGCACTGCCTTGTACTGCACTGCACTGCAATGCTCCCATCATGATTGTATCCTTGATGACTACTTTCAGTATTGACCACTATGTTCCCGCTTTCATTGTCATTCTGAATGCATACTGAACACAACTCAAACTCGCCGTCCTTTTTCTTGTATCTGTCTGCCTTCTGCTTTCATCTTTCTTCTTCGCCTTTCTTCCTCACTTCTTCTTTCAACCCCTTTAAGCTGGCAAAGCAACTTGCTGCTCTCTCCGCTTCTGCATCTCTCCTCTCTAAGCCACGACCAATTTCCATATTTCTGATCATAGACGCGTCAAATTCCTCAGCCCCAACACATCTCTCACCACCCAAAGAACCCCAACAGCACCTTAACCAGTATGGATGAAGCTTCCGCACAACTTATCCTGAGTTTGCTCCACCAAGATGTGCAGGAAGTGATTGAAGCCTGCAGGGCCAGGAACAACAACAGTGGACCATCCGATCATGAAGTCGCGCTACGCGAATGGGCATCCCAGATCCAACGGTGCGCCACGACCACCCATGACAACCAGATGGCCCTGAGCATCGATCGAGCAACCTACGACGACCGCGTGGCACTCACCTTAGCTGCGCAGGAGGAGAGCAGGGCACTCGCCGACCGAACGCTCGCTCTTCGATATGGAAACCAGGCGCAACAGGCCCAGCACCAGCCAGCCCAGCGTCTAGCCACGCAACAGACCCAGGAGGCCACCAGGATCCTGGCACAGATAGACGGGGTCGACATCTCCTCTCTGCTACCCGCCCGCACTGCAGCTGCTCTCGGATACGGCGCTGGGTCGTCTTCCAAAACCGCCGCAAAGCCCCCCTTGGATGACACTGGCACGGCTGAATGTGTTGCGTGCTTGGAGGAACAGCCCTTGAAGGGTATGATGCAGACACCGTGCTCGCATCGGTACTGTAAGGCTTGTGTGTTACGTCTAGTCAGAGAGGCGCTGGCCGACGAGTCGCTGCTGCCGCTCCGCTGCTGCCGGCTGCCGATTCCTCCATCGACGCTCCAGGATCATCTCGGCCATCGACAGGCCAAGCAGCTGGAGGACAAGTTGATTGAGAGGGAAGATCCGTACAAGACCTACTGCTCCAGAGCGGGCTGCGGTCAGTACTTGATGCCATATCAGGTGCAGGGCTACATCGGCACATGCAAGATCTGTCAACAGGAGACTTGCACTCTCTGTAAACGGCCCGCACATGCAGGGACCGAGTGCGAGAATGACCAAGTCGAAGACCAGACTCTTCTGAACCTTGCAGCTGAGCAGGGATGGCAGCGCTGTGCGCAATGCAGCCATGTCATCGAGTTAGGAACAGGATGCAACCATATCACGTAGGTTAAAGCCCTTCTTATGATGTCCCCTTGTCACATTGCTGACATTCTTGATATCCCTCTTGCCACAGATGCCGTTGTAGGTACGAGTTCTGCTATGTCTGCGGCTCTACCTGGAAACTGTGCACCTGTGTGATCTGGGATGAGAGAAGGCTGTTGCTGCGAGCTCGACACGTCGCCGGTCGAGATCGAGCCGACCCCCCACCCGAGCAGGAAGTTCAACAAGTGGCACAGAACCTCCAGGAAGACCACGAATGTGACCACGACAACTGGAAGCGTGTCAAAGGCGCTCATCAGTGCGAAGAGTGTCACGATAACCTCCCGCACTTTATCTACGAATGCCGACAATGCCGCTTGCTCGCTTGCGCGCGCTGCAGATTCAATCGTCTTTAGTCTGTCTCTGCTGGACTGCACTGGAGTGTGTCTCACTACTGGTGATGATTTCTACTTTGATTTTTGATTTCTCAATATTTTCCGATATTTACTGCGTATGATTGTGTATTCTGTTCTTAACATGTCGACACATGGCAACATTGTTGTGACATAATGGACAAGTCCCATAGGCATGGTAAGCATTTCGCAGCCGAGGCATGCCCACACATTTTAGTTTGCCAATAGATATGATAAGTCCAAGAGACTGTCCAAGCGTGCACTCCTGAAAATGTCGAGTATTCGTCGACTTCACACAAACCCTAAAAACATGAGACCATGCCGATCAACATACCGACCCACCAAACCGTACTTTGCTCCCCCAACCACGCTCCTCAGTACTGCTCGTCCTGCCGAGAGGCCTGCACTACTCCACAGTAGGCAGATCTCTTGCTGGAGCGCTGTCATCAAGAGTCCTTGGAAAAGAATCTTCCATAGTTTCAGATCTGCTCTGCATTTTCCCTCGTTCCCATCTGGACAGCGTCTTCAAGTCGACTGGCCTGTGTGTGATGCTAACCGCGGCTGACTTACGCGATGCCCGTGAGTCGATACGCATCGAGCCCTGCATAATAGCTCCCGGGGATAGTTAGCAGCTTGTTTCACGTCAAATTCTTGTTCTGTCTGCGTTCGGTTCGCTGCCGTGGTTACTATACCTTCCCTTCAAGACTTTAGAACTCTAGTAGCTTCGGAGGTGGGCTGCCTCAGCTGATGGGTGTCCCACCGAGATAAACCTGCGTTTTTTTTTAAGTTTTATGAAGCACAACAATTCTGCAATTTCTCACGATCGGCTCAGAAGATCAAGTTCCCATAATGGCCAAATTACATCGATGTAAGAGAGCAATCGCAAAAAGGGGAGAGTCCGGATTGAGAGAGACAGCCAGGGCAAAACAGCAGAGATGAAGCCTCAAAAGAAGAGAAAGGGAGCATAACAGGGGCAGTGATCGTTCCAGTCATTCTTGGGGTAACCGTCATAACAGATTCGGGACTTCGTTCCTTCGTATTCACATCCCTGCCTGAAAACCCCTGGGGACTAATAGCAGGGTTTGCATGGAATAAATAGGGTCAAAGGGAAGGAGAGAGGGGGCAAGACAGCTGGGGGTCGACATGCACGGCGCAGGCAATCAAGCATTCTGGTTCGAGTCGTAGGATTGCTGCTGGGGGCTACGCCAGTCTAGTAATCTTTTCATCAGTGAGACTGTGAGGCGAATGTCAGGAGAAGCTTAGACTTACTACCACCGCCGCCGTAGCCACCGCCGCCACCTGTAATCTGGGTTAGCTGATACTTCGGGACTACCTCGAGCGGAGGATGGATGACGAACCGTAACCACCACGGTAACCTCCATTGCCTCCTTCACGCTGGTTGTAGCCACCTCGGCCGTGGAAACCGCCACCTCCAGCGCCGCCGCGAGGCCGCTCCGAAGCCTTGTCGACTCGGATAACCCGACCATCGAATCTGTTGAGGATCAGTACTAGGCCAAGAACGGGCGAGGGGAAAGAGGAGAGGTTGCTGACTCCTGGTTGTTCATGGCCTCCATAGCCTTGTCGGCATCCTCATCGGTTGCGAACCGGACGAATCCGAAACCACGGCTGCGGTTGGTATCATGGTCCTTGACAACGACCTGAGAACAATTTGATTAGATGCTGCGGCTCACAATAGCGCAGAAAGGGGGACACCCACGGCTTCCTCGACGACTCCGTAGTCCTGGAATCCTTGGCGGAGGGTTTCATCAGTGGTGTGCCAGGCCAGGCCACTATGCTGAGTTAGTCCTATTTGATTGTGGAAGCCAGATACATGAAATGGTGCAAACTTACCCAACAAAGAGCTTAGACATTTTGAGGAGGGATAAGTAGGGTTCTGCGCGAATATTGGGTTAGTACCGAGGAATCAGAAGCACCGAGGTAGAGCGCAGAGTCGAGATGCTTGGGATGGTGTTTAACGCTGCTTTCACACCACAGGAACGTTGCACGAGGATGTAAAATCAGAGTCGGATGTGAACGAATAAAAAACAGTGGAAAGCGTGCTTGCGACAGTGTGCCTTTGGTGCGAGGAAACCCTGCAGAAGATCCCCTCCGACCCGGTTTGGCCAGATATGAGGATGACTGCCGATAATCGCTCCGAGGGATGCTCTGAACAAAAACGAGAAGACACATACATACCTTGGCAAGACTACACTTCTGTTGAGCCTAGATGGGGAGAGATTCAACGAAGAGAGTTGGAAAAAAAATTAAGGAGGGGAGTGGAAGAAGGAGGATTTTGTTCCTGGCGAAAAAAGACTGCGGTCAGCAAAGTGGGCAGATGCAGCAAGCGCGAGTTGGCCGAGGGGAGAGGAAGAGTGGGAGAGGGAGAGGGAGAGGGAGAGGACAGGACAGGACAGGACAGGACGGACAACGCGGCTGGGTTAAAGCGGGGGGGGGAAGGGAGAGAGGGAGGGGAGAGGAAGGGCTGAGTGAAAGTAGTAGTAATAATACAGTAGGTAGTAAGGTGGTGGTGTAGTCTGACACCGCGGCAGAATTGGTCCAAATGCAAGAGAGCAGTGTTTGTCTTTTCAGTAGGTTTCTTTTCTTTTTTACCCGTTTCTTTTCTTTTTGTGGTTTGTTTTCACCTTTCTTTTCTTTTTGTTCTGAGAGTGCTAGGGATATGCAAGTGGTCCAGAAGTGGCCGGGGGAGGGGGAGGAGGGGGAGGGGTAATTGTGACTAACTGGTGATGACTGATGTCCAGTAAGTTAACTAATTACTGTGTACGTTAACATACAGTACAGGCTGAATTGGTGAGAATTGGGAGAGAGCTAAAAGAGGCAATAGATAGTGGAGTGAGCTGAAGGAGCTGAAAAAGCTGAGCAGTAATCCGTACTGTACAGCACCTCATTCAAAGGTACTCAGTACTCATTACTCCGTACAAGCGAGAGACTGAAGGTAGGTAAGGTAAGTTATGAATGAGGGGGAGGCAAATGCGCAACCTGTGAACTCGGAGACGCTAAGAGATTCATCACCGGCTCATCACCGGCAGTGACCCCCTCCATATTCCACCCCTCATTGGTACCTGGAAGAAGGGGCCAAAATTACCACTCAATACTCGTACTGTATGTACACATGGCGCATTCAGTGCGGATCTGCAAATTGTCTGGATAAGGACCTTTGGAGCGAGCATGCAGATTGCGACTCCTCAGGGTTTGGTTTGTTTGTGACACTTTTGCCCAACAAGGAAGGATTTCTTTCTTACTAAGTACCAGGTGCAGGTGACAGCAGTGATTCTTCATCATCCTGGAACTGGGGATTGTCGGAAGCACGAGCAATCAATCGCAATGCACGATCGAACAAATTGAGCGCAGGGAGAGACCGCGTCTCCTTAGCCTGAGCTGAATGCAGAATGATCGGCCTGTCTCTGTCTGCAAGTTTCTAACGGTATACTGACTGCTGGTCGATCTTGCAGGATTCCTTGGCTGGGAAAGCTAGTCTACTTGCATACATCACATCCTCACACCAGATAGCCCGGCTCAACAATGAATCGGACCTGGACAATCACTGACTGCACCACATCCTCTGGTCTCGCTTGATGATACGGGAAAGACCCTCCTTTTGTCCTTATCGCCTGCTTGCGTAAGACCAGCGGGTTTGCAGCTAGCGTGGAAGGCACGCCTCACCTACCCTCGACACTCTCTTACTGCAACGCTTTCTTTGCGCCAGAGATCCCCATAACACCTTTAAAGAACTTAAGATGATCTTCTCTACCTAGAATGTTCTAAATCGGTCTATCTGCCATAAGCCAAACCACTCCAAGGATACAACAGCAGCAACAGCAATGATACAGCTCATTGACACAACACGGGTCGAATGGGCCTATTCAGCAGGTGGAAATCATTGATGAGCCTCTGCTTTGGATGGATGGAGAGCCTCCTCTATATCCCGTTCCGCCTTGGCCTCCTCTGCCGCCGCTTCTTCCACGCCCTCAAGGGTCTTGACCCGTCGCACCAGATCAGTAACGTGCACATCGGCACTCCCCAGCCCGAGTCCGTCAAGCGACTTCTCTAAGAGATACAGGTATTCAGTGTTTTTACCACTCTGTCCCTGACTGCGACTTATCACCTCGGCCACATCTTGTTGCTCTCGCCGGGCTGGATCCCGCAAAAACTGCGGATTGGTCGGTTGACCGATGTAGACCATACACACGATTGGAGATGATGTAGACTCCTCTGCGTTTGGCACCTTACGAGTGTCGACGGGATGGAAAGGGGTGTAATGGACGGTGTAACCATCGATTTCTCGGACATCGAGATAATCGTGTACCTCCTCAGCATGGGAAGCAGGGATATGATATGCAGCACCCCAAACCGTGGCCGTCGGTGAGCTTTCAAGGTGCGCCAGCTGTTTCAAACTGTGAGTGAACCATCTCAAATAGGCAAATTGGCAGCAAACAGAATTTCATGGTTATAGCTGGCCGATTGCGGCCGTTGAAGATACCGAGAATACGTACCGGATCATCCAGCGTTTCCCAGAACTCCCGTTCGATCACTGTCACAACTCGTCCAGGGTTCTCTGGAGTGCCACGATGGTCGGTACTAGACGCGGCCTGTCAGCCCTGACATGTCAACTCTCAAGAATAGCTTGACCCACCTTGCCTAATTGACATCGCCAGTAAGTTTATCTGCACATTGAGAAACACAATCATCACAACCACAAGGCAAGAGGTATGCATCAACGAACCTGCCAGAAGCGCCGCACATAGCCATTGATGTAGCCGGGAATCCGTTGGTCTAGCAGATATTAGCCTATCTGCACTATGAATGGGAATGAGACACTCCTGGTATCATGGATATATGCTCTACTTACCGTAATGCGGCGGTGGCTTCCAGATCAAACTCCTGCCCTGCATCAGCCACTGGTTGTTGTTTCCAGGGACCATCCTGCGGCCGCTGAACGGCTAGGCTTACCCGTATCCGAACACCCAAAGGTCGCCTTTAGGGAAGTAGTTACGCCATGTCCGGCCGTCTCTAGGAGTCTCGCTCCCTTGCTCAGCCGAGCCCATCTCCGACGCTTCAAACTGGATCCTGAACTTAGAGATGTGGCTCGGGTGGTTTTCTGGGCGGAGATACGGGTTGACCTACTGAGTACAACCTCGTCTATAATAATGTTTGTCGTATGGATAATGGAGATTAGGCAAAAAGCTGTAATTAGAATCGATAAGAACTAGGTTGGTGAAGTGAAGCAGCCAGAGTGCAAGTCTCCAAGTTGACTTACTCGGTTCTTTCCAGAATCTATGAGACAAGCAGACAGGCAGCTACCACAATGGTTGTATCACCGCCGATTAACTAAATCTCTCAATAATCGATTGATGAGAAATCACCCGCCGCTGAGCGTGCCCACACATGTCTTTACTCCGCATGTTTGCATTGTTTGTCATCCCCGATCGATGACTTCAATTCCAGTCTGGATCTCGCCATCTTGCAGCATTGTCTCGGGAAGTCACTTGAGGCGGTGCGACGGAAATTGTATTCTGTAGATTTACTCAGGTACTTCTTGTTAGCTCTGATCGATCACCCCAGCCTTACGTGAGCAATTCGCACCTCCTCTGTCCCTTTTGCATGGATTACAAGCAGAGCCTCACAAAGGCAAATTGACCACCCCAATTTGTCAGGGGGGCGGATCGCAGTTGCAGAAGCCCCGCTTGGTCCATCCCATCCTTGCTCGGACTTTGCTGCAGAGCTTGCGCACCCTCGCTCTCGTATTCGTTTCCTGCTCCAGCAGTCTCCATCATCTTGTTCGTCTCGGGGAGATTCAGCGGGGCCGGCCCAGACACCGGACCCGGCTTTAGCAGTACGCTAATTTCAGCTGGCAGCTATCACCAACGTCCAGTCGTCGAGGCTAATCATTAGCTTTGAGACGGCCACGTCCTGCAAATCCCTACGCGAACCTGCTCAATTTGAATCGGTTGGATCTACTACACCAACCTTGTTCGAGACCTTGGCAACGTCCTCCTCGGCCGTATAATGTCGACCTCGAAGGCCATACTGCTGTGTCTTTTCACATTCGTCATGGCAGGGCTATTTCGGCTACGTCGGTCGCGACACAATATCCCGGTCGATCCCAGCGGGGTGTCGTTCGCAGGGAAGACGGTGCTTCTGACCGGAGCAACGTCCGGACTGGGATTCGAGGCGGCTGTCAAGCTCCTCGGCCTGGGCGTGGACTCACTCATCATAGGCAGTCGTAACCTGCAAAAAGGCCAAGCGACCAAGGCGGAGCTTGAACGACGCACCGATAGACCGGGTGTGGTGCAAGTGTGGCAGCTGGAGATGAACAGCTTCCAGAGCGTCAAGAGCTTCGCCGAGCGTGTGAACAACGAAGTGGACCAGTTGGATATTGCAATCCTCAACGCGGGTCTATGGAATCGAGACTACACCGTATCGCCGGAAGGATGGGAGGAGACGCTGCAGGTCAACACTCTCTCGACATCCCTACTGGCATTCCTCCTCCTCCCCAAGCTGAGACGCAGTTCGACACCGACGCAGCCAACACATCTTACAGTGGTCTCCAGCCAACAGTTCGTTCGGGTCAAGGCGCAGAGCCTCCGAACGGAAGAGCCGTTACTCAAGCATCTGAACGATCCCCGCAATTTCATAGGCCGCCGGCAGTACGGGATCTCCAAGCTTTTGCTCGAGTATATGCTCAAGATGGCCGCCGGTATGGTTCGCCAGGAAGACGGGACGGTGCCTGTGATCATCAACTCCGTAAGTCCCGGGTTTTGTGCCTCGTCACTCGGGCGGCAGTATCGTAGATTTTACGAGCGATGGCTGTCTTGGCTGGCGTATAAAGTCTTTGCGCGCACAGCTGAGCAAGGCAGCCGATCGCTGGTGAGTGCCACTTACCAAGGGGTGGAGTCTCATGGGAAGTGTTGGAGAAACGATGGTTATCTAGAGTGAGTCTACCTCGGACCTGTCCCACGGTTACAGGGTGCTGGTTAACAAAGAACAGCGAATCGATCGCGTTGACAACGGGAGCGGAAGGACAGCAGTTTCAGAACATTGCTTGGAACGAGATCGCGTCTATTTTGAATGAGCAGAAGGAGGGGCTGGAGCAGTTGGTCGGAGGTTCGTGACGGCGCCTAGGCTTCCCCGGTCTTGTGGCCTCTGCGAATGACATCGCAAGGCTGAGCATTCTTTGACACGAAGTCTTTAATCTTCTGAACCACTGGCTCTGAACACAGCCTCTCAGCGACTCAATCCTAGTTTGTATAGTACTCAGAAGTAGCACAGATGCCTTTTTCTTTTGCGTGGGATCCACCACGAATTGGAATGGAACCCGTGGGCCAACCACTTCAAATAAGCTGTGTCGGATTTAGGGCTGAGTTTCTTTCAGTCGGCCTGATCTGCCTTCCAAGTTCGTTCCGCTCGCAGTTTTAACCTTCCCCCCCCTCCAGTGACAAAGGTCAAGCCAATGAACCTTGCTTGTGCAGAAGGCAACTGGTTTGAATCATTTTGTTCTCTTTGGAGTGGTTGACGGATCATCTGCGCCCATTAAACGGACTTTCTACTACTGAGTACCTATGAGTATGTGTACCGCGTTCTTCTGCCCCCTTTTATGGTTGAATTCGGTTGGCGATTCCTGCTAAACCGCCGCCCCACGGCTCCGCTCTGCAGGTCCGCAAAAACGAATCTGGTCGCTAACTTAACAACTAACTGCATGGCCAAAGCCTAATAATTCCTTCCTCTCCCCGAACTCCTTTCGGTCCTTGCCTTCCACTCCAAAATTCCTTACAACTAGATATCTTACTTCACCTTCTGGTCGTGCTTGGAGGATTGGGTCCATTCAAACCTACGCTGCCCGTTTTGACGCCTGTCGCTCGGATTGCGCCCGCCGCCCTTACGTCAGTCAGCCTTTGCCGCCATGGCGTACAATCAGTCCTACAATCCAGATGCGCTGCCAGCGTGAGTTGAGATCCAAGACCAGCCCGCCAGAAACATTGAGCAACTGTCGCTAATATGTGAGGATGATGAGCACAGTCACGCAGAGCCCGAGCAGGTACGCAGGAACCCGAATGATGCAGGTTGATCTACTTGTCTACCCCGCAGCCACTGACTTGAGGCGAACGACAACAGGTTGCGCAGATGCTCGGTGCTATGCAGACGAGCAGCTCAGCTCACCAACGACCCCCCCGACAGTCTTCTCACCATTCCCCCAGCGGAGTGCCTCCGCGCGTGCCAGTGTCCGGAGCGCCGAGCGCCAACCCGCAGCGCTACCCAGCGCCTGCCCAACAGACTCACCACGGCGGACGATCGCCGACCGTTCCTGTTCAACAGCGTCCGCACCCATTACACCCCTCGCCCCCTCCCCAGAACTACGGCTTTGGGCCACCTCCCTCCCAGCCCGTGCGCAACCGTCCTCCTCCGTCGTCGCGTCCACCGCAATCCCCACACCCTCCTCCACTCTCGGTCCCCGACGATGACCCACAGCAGCTGTACCCCCTGTTCCGCGCCGCCAACACCTCGCACTCCGGGGCGCTGACGGAGCTGGAGCTGGGCTCTGCACTGGTGAACGGCGATTACACCTCGTTCCATCCCAAGACGGTCAAGATGATGATCCGCATGTTCGACCGCAACAGCAGCGGGACGATCTCGTTCGACGAGTTCGTCTCCCTCTGGCGCTATCTGGCGGCGTGGCGGGAGCTCTTCGATCGGTTCGACGTGGACCGGAGCGGACGGATCAGCCTGCCCGAGTTCGAGAACGCGCTGGTCGCTTTCGGGTACCGCCTCAGCCCGGGATTCGTGCAGGTCATGTTCATCACCTTCGAGAGCAAGGGGCGGCAGATGAACGGGCACACCTATGGCAAACATGGCATGAGTTTTGACCTGTTTGTGCAGGCCTGCATTAGTCTGCGTCGCATGACCGACGTGTTCAAACGGTATGACGACGATCGGGATGGGTATATTACGGTGAGCTTCGAGGAGTTTTTGACAGGTGAGTGCGCACGCAGCCCCCCACGAAGACAGAAAAAAAGAAAAGCGGTATCGCGACCGACAGATTGCTGACGTGTGTGTGTGATATGTTGCCGTGTTGCAGAGATTCTTCAGTTGCAGGATTAGATGGAAGGCGTGGAGTTGGGGGTGTTTTCATAGTAAAGGTGGAGATGATCGATTATCGCACTCTTTTCATGATGTGTCTGTCATTGTACATTATATACCCTATTTATTTCTCTTCCAGTGGCATACATGGATGGACATGGTGATAGAGGGGGTGTGGGCTAAGAAGAGATTATTTTTTCTTTGTGAAGAACATTCCTAGGTAATGTTTGATTTTATGAGAGAAGTGCCAGGTACTGTACAGTACTTTCTTGTCCAGACGGGAGTGACTAGTCCACGGTATACAGTTCACCTGCCTAGAACATCGGGCGGTGATGGAGTCTGGAGTCTGGATCTCGGCCTCGCATAAGGCAGTCAGCTCCGGGCTCCAGGCTATCTATGGCTGTATTACCTGTACCGTCACGGATAGTCTATGCGGTGAGAGCCAGTCGGTTTTGTTGGGCAGGCAGGCATACAGTTTGCAGGTGGTTTGTATCAAACCATCAAGTCATCGACTCATCTCATCGACTCATCAGAAAGCTCGGCGTCGGCGGGCAAAAAGTCCGACAGTCCGAGAAGATGAAGATGAATCAACCAAGCCTCGTGGGGTTGACTGGAAATCTCCGCCCTGCAGCTGACTTCCCCCCC